GTGAAGTGGTAGCTGGACGGGAGTTGCTGAAGGGTTCATACTAGGAATGACTCATCTTCAGGTGGACTCCGGGGCAACGGTTTACCACACCGAGACTGAGATAATCAGACCCGGGCAGCGAGATTTGGATCCACACTGCATCGCAAAGAGGTGCAGGAGTAGTACCGGAGAGGACAATCGGGATATGCAAGGCTGCAAGTAAGTACAAATCAACCCCACCAGCCCTCCCTCGTTTCGAGTCAGCTCGGAAAACAGAGTACCCGTTTATTAAGATCTCCGCGTCAGAGATATCTGGTGTGAGCCAGGTCTCTGTGAGTGCGATTATGGACGACTGTTCCAGGCAAACTGACTGTTTGATATCACGACGTTTGTTGGAAAGGCCGAAGAAGTTTGCGGACAGGTGGTACAACACTGTCTCTGTTGCCTCCGAAGGTGAAGAGTCGAGAGTTGGGTGACCAGGGTGGCTTGCAGACTTTAATTGTGCGTCGGGTTTGAGTCCAAGGATTCAAAGGGGCCTCTGATGCATACTCGTCTGCTTCCTTCTTGTCGGTTTTGAGGAATGCTTCTCATCTGCAAGATTATTTCGCCCCAAGGAAGCCCGGTTCGCTCAAGCCTTTAGCTTTGGAGGACGGAGTTTTTCCCTGAGGGCGAAAATTTCGGCCGTTCCTCCTTGAGGCTCTTTCAGCACCGCCTTTTGAAAGACCAGACTTGCCGTTGCTCAAAGATGTGGGTTAACTTTCGTCTTTCCGGTTTCTTGGACGTTTTGGTGCGGTTTGACCGGAAAGGTGTATCGCCATGACCCTGAGCGCTGGGTGGCGGCACCAAGAAGTAATTCTACTGGAGGCGGTCAAATGAGGCTCGTTTTCGCACAGGATTCCATCTTGAAGCCAGTGAGCAGTCTTCTGATTTGGCGATTCTTACGTGGCTTGTTTGGCTGCAGCCGCCTTCTTTCATGTTTGTGTGGACACCCGTTCCACCAGTGGTTAGCGTGACCAACCGGATTTTCGTAGGATTTTCCGGTGCGCTGTGGTTACGGTTGTGGCTTTGGATGTCGGCGCCCTTGGCGACGAATCTGTCTGCAACCAAAGAGGCCATTTTTGACAGAATGGAGCTGGAGATTAGCAGTTTCGCATTCTCAGTGGGCGTACGGTTGTTGCGACATTCCCCAATGTCGGGGTCAAAGTCTGTAGTGGATTTGTCGGTGGGTTTCGCTGTCCATCCCCGTACATTCCCCAATGTCGGGGTCAAAGTCTGTGGTGGATTTGTCGGTGGGTTTCGCTGTCTGTCCCCGTAAATCGGACTCAGTCCAGTCCAGAAGCTGTGACTTTGATGAGGAGTTCACTGCTGCACCTTTGTCGTCTGTTACGGAAAAAGCACTGATAGCCCTGCGTACTTTGGGGGCTGCTTTCACGCGAGGCTCGTTCCCCAGAACATCACTGCTTTTGGTGGATTGCATTGGTGGTCTCCGGACCTGACCTCCGGAGACGCGGCAGGTTCCGTCGGCATGCTATCTGGAGCACAAGGGGTTACGAATACAATCGGTTTGGCCCATGGGCTTGGGGTTGGCTGAACCGGCGCCAAGCAGAAGCCTGCTTCGCGCGTATCCTCAAGAAACGCTGTGGCTCAGCTTTCTCCCCTGTAGAGGGTGATTCTCAGATAGAGACCTGATCGCTGGGTAGGCATTTTGAATGCTGCCAGCCAGCTCCAAGATTTTCTGTACGGCAGATGGGGGGAATGGTGACCAGCAGCCCAAGCATTTGCTTTTTTCCCTGGTGATCAGGCTTAGAGAGGATACTACCAAGGAGCGACTGTGCCAGCTTCGTAAGGGTGATTTTTCTGGAGAATGACCCCCAGGTTAACATTCTGCTCTCTCCTAAGCGCCTGTCCACTAGAGACGTCGTGGCGGTCTTTACTGCCGCATCAGGAAGCTGGATGACTTTCCTCGTGGACAGTGGGCCCGAGATGGATAGCGCGGGATACTCGTTCAGTGAAGAAAGTTCTTTATTAATTTTCGTCAATTTCGCTGCGTCCTTTGTGTTTGCATCCTTTAGCGCTTTAGAAAGAGGCTACAGTTTTGCGTCGAATATCCCGATCAAAGCGGAACACTCATACCGGTCTCTGATTCCGCAATGGAGATTGGGTTTCGTTTTTGGTGGCTCTCTTCTTAACTGCGATATGCATTGCACCCTTAATGTAAAGGCAGATGGCGCAGAGAAACGGGTCGTGATAGTTAGCTAGTTGACTTACCTTTTTGCCCCGTAAACCCGTGCACTTGAACTGTCACTAGGCCTTGCGGGTGCATTGTATACCGCGTCTTACGCAGCCATTTTGCGATCTATCGATGGCTGCAGGGGGCAGTATTTGTTCATCGATGCCATGGTTGAGACTGGATGAAAATTAGGAACCGAGAACAAAATAACAAGGGTTATCGCATTATTGTTATGCTAGAGTGATAAAACTCAACAATGACTCGTGCATACTCTGTGAATAGACTGAACAGCGAAATTTTTTCATAAATTTGCACGAGGGAAAAAATAAACCGATTTCGAACGTACCACGCGTTTTTTCCTAACCGATTGCCCAAGTATCCTCCTTGAAATAAACGGAACATAGATGACCTAGAAAAGTTTACTCGACACAGGAGTGCACATTCCCAGGTGTGGTGCACAGTCACACCATTACGGTCATGCGTCGTCACCTGCGACGCGGTAGAGTTTGCCATGCATACCTAGTGTTATAATGGAAGTAAAATAAAGGTACAAAAACGCCACACCGCTGAGCGTTCCTAAAATGGGACTGGTTTATCAATAATGACCAAGTTTTTAAGGTTACTTCTTTATAATGAAGAGTCTCTACGTTTGTTGAATTTTTCTGCAGGTTAGCTACCTGGATGATTTGTTAAACCGAGGTAATCTTGAAGGTCATCAATAACAACTGGTTGGGAGAAGAGTGCATATTATAATAAGATATCGCGGATCGCTCCAAAAAGTGAATAACTCAATATGGACAAATGTTGCAGGTAGTTCTGTTTCTGAAATAATTTCTCGAACATTCTAGAGTCTACATTGTGCTTTTAGACGCAAAGTATACGTCAGTGTCACTGTTGCAATGAATTTCTGCCAAGCACATCCTGTTTGAGTGGAGGAACACCGAAATCTGTTATCTGAGACCGCGAGAATTGCAATTTCGAGTTATTAGCGCAGTTATCTCATTCATTTTTTCGGATGGCTTCTGCAAGGTTTGAAGAACATAAGCCTTGCAGATGATGAGATATATATGTCGTCAGGGAAATATTTCCCTGTAGGTCAAGTCCTGTGATAAATTGCAACAGAGTTCTTCGTTGTAACTGACAAAATATGTCAGTACGATTATGCTGATCATGGCGGACAGTTGAATGAACCCACATAACCGAAATGGGCCTAGGGATCTGCGGAGCCTAATCATTGTGGACATAGCGGACTCAACTTCATCTAGACCAGGAAATGTCAAGGGACCAACTAGGACAGGAGGAAAAATTTTGAGCGTTGTGATTAGTACATATACCCTGGTCTTCTTGATGCGTAGTGTTCAGTGAGCTTTGACGTCCTGAAATCAGAGGATTAGTTAGTTTATCAAAATATCACTATGAAGCTGACAGATGGCAAACCGGGAACAATACTTACTTTGTTAAGTAAGCATCTCGGTGGAGACAATCTCTTAGATCCGTTCTCTCACGATTCGTATTACGCCATTTTCCGTAACTGACGCCGACTGAGTAATGGGTCGTAAGAAATTCGAGACTTACCTAAAATGCATGAGGACTCGTTGGAGAACATACTCCATTTGATAGCCTCCACATGCGTCACTAAATCACCAATTTCCCCCTCTTCGAACTGGCGCTGTGCAACATCGGTACTACTACTATGGTATTAACCCACGGTTGCCGATTAGCTCCTCTATGGAACAGAAAATGCAGACGCACACTGACTTCAGGGACGTATTATCCTGGGATTCTGTGCTTCGACCCAAGTCTATATCATAGTTTGCCTTTTTGAACCGTTTAGCAGGCCCACCCATGCACTTTTTCAACAGGCCGGGTGCTGAGAAAAAGCTCAACTAATTCACATGCGAATTCACTTCTAGAGAAGCCTGAAGATCGCCCCCGCACAGCGGGCAGGGTTCATCATCACAGCAGTTGACACGACCTGTTTCACATCAGCGTTGCTGTTACTAGTCGACAGGTCAGAAAGCACTAAAAAAATCCAACTATGTGTCCCTGGACCACCATCATAATTGAGGAGCTGAATCCTCGACTACCGACAGCAGGTTCCCAGTTGCGCCTTCAAGCCGCAGCATTTGCCCCTGAGCGATCCACTGCCTGGTGATGGTGGTGGTTTTTCTGGTTTTAAGCGCCTGCAGTTTATCCGCCACCCGGTTTAGTTGTTTATGCAGGCCATCGAATATTGGTGACGGTGGCCTGAGAAAAATTATAAGGGATATTCCCGGGCCCGGTTGGTTGTAATCGGACAACTAACGTTGGTGGATGGGAAATAAACATGGAAAACCATCTGTGCATTATATTTCCTACTACTTGGAACAGTCTGGTCTCTGAATACGGAGAACAGATGAAAACATGTAAGCCGAATCGCCCGGTAGAGAGGGCGTGTGTATTTTCAGCACAGGTATCAGCCGTCTGGGAGTAATTGGAAGTTTTCACACAAAAACCTACAAACTATTCAACTTGGATTGGCCTCACCGTGTTAGTTCTAACAAACATACTGCCAAACACAATGCAGCCTTGTGGTTGCTGCCCCAAGTGCCTGAAAACGGGGAATGACGTGTACGCAGTCACTCTACAGACAAAATTGATCTCCGGGATTTACCTTTGGTCACATTTATACCACATGCGCATCCCCACATGAGCCATTCAGAGTGCTATGACAGCTTCTATATGACATATTTCAGTGTCTAATTGGTGTACCGGCTTTTTCAGGTGACCATTGACTTTCTACAGATGACCGTTAGTTACGTTGACAAAATGGATAATTCCGGATTGTGTGTGCACCGCCAATTTGTGGATGGTGTACAGCCAGTGCGCTGTGTGGCAAGAAACGAATCATGGGTCGGTACGGCGCAGCAACTGCGGGTTTTGTCGGAATTTGTGCGTTAGTATTGTGAATTAGGTAAACTTGCTGTACGATATTGTCCAGTGGAGCCGTACAGTGTAGTAAATGTCGGCTGTTCGCAGTGTCTATAACCAAAGAATTAAATAATACGTGCATGCTTACTGATAGCTCTGTGAGTGTGAAAATGGTACAACATGAAGTCGAAGCCAAACGCAAATCTGGTCGACCGCGTTTGTGCGGCCAATCCATGCATGACACTATGACGCCATTATTAATTCCAGTGAGTAGTATGGGCTCTCACATTTGCACGAACACTCATGAGTTTGGGAGTCAGAACCACTTTACTGAGGCACTTCCCGAAAATGACATAGGGTCAGTGGTTTTGCTTTTTATAAAAAAATAACAAAATTGCCAGTTAGACTGAGGGATATCTGAGAAACTTCGTTGAGTGAATGTTCATTTCATTTGAGGATTTTTCAGTCATGTATCCCACATTGTATCCGAAGTCTGCAGTAATTCTGATCAATACTAATTCACAGCTAGTGAACGAATACCAAATAATTTCAAGTTTGTCGATGCCATGCATGGCGACTAGTTTGTTGAGGTAAATAGTGGGTACCAAACGCCATGTTGAGAAATGCAGGCACAAATCATTTGGTACGCAAGCAGAGTTCGTAAATAAATGGAAGAATTATCAAGCCTGAGCCCAATGCTCCTCCTTTATTATGGGCTCTTTAGAACGACTGTGAGAGAACGAGAATAGCACTGCTCAATCGAAAGTGACCTGAATAGGAATTCTAGGAATTTCGCAACCACCCTCAACTAGTTAGCTGTCAGCTTGTGCTCACTTTTTACAGTGGGCCATGAAATTGTTCCAAATGACTCAAATTCTCTCCCACAACAATTATACATTTGTCCTTTCAAATAAAAAGCTCCCTGTAAATATGTTTCTTTTTTCGGCAGATCTCTAGTGACTTTGTTAATTTTACCTCAAAGTGAGTCTTAGGAAAAATGTCCATATGGAATCACCAGAGAAGCAACTGGGATGCTTCCATTGTAACCTTGACGCTTGTCCGTTCAATGGATATCCATCAACACAGATGATTTTGAAATTAGGTTTAATCCATATTTGCACGAAACGCTCCCTCCCAGGTAGCATATACAGTCAGGACAAATCAGTGAAGGCTTTTTAGCCTGGTGTTGACATTTGGGGTCGACGATTGGGTAAAGAAGAGCAGCTTTAGTTTCTCATTTGAAAACATCAATTTGGTGGCTATCGTTTATTTTTAGGGAATCTGGGATTCCTCTGTCACCCTCATTTCTCATGGAACTGTTACAAATGAGCCAAACATTTGGTAGGTGATTGCGTTGTGCCAAACTTCCGTGAGTGTGTTCTTGTGTAAGTTCATGCTACTTACGTTTATGAGTAATCAAAGTGATATGATAAATCATTAGCCATTCACCGGTTTCGCTCACTGGCCTCTTACCAATGCGAGGATGTACGGTGAAAAGGCATACTGCTAACACACTGA